TTCGTATTGCGTTTCAATAGCCCCTCGACACAATCGCGGGCGCCTTCGAGGTCCTTGCCTTTTTCAGGATCCCATTCGTCGTCGCTGTCGGCATATCGGTACCAGGACCACTCGACTCGTGCGATGCGGTGGGGCGTTCGCGCGCGGAGTTTGGCAGGGTCGCCTCGGGTGCCCGGCAATGCGTCGAACGGGAGCCGATTTTCCATCATGGCGTATAACAACACTCCCAAAGCCCATGCGTCTGTTGATCGTCCATCATACGGCTGTCCCATCAAGATCTCAGGGGCTGCGTAGTCCTCACTGCCACAACGGGTCTGAAGCAGAGGGCTTTCGGGAGGCTCGGGTATTCGTCGGGACAGACCCAGATCGCTGAGGGTGATGACGGCTCGATCGTATGTGCGCCAATCCGTGATCGTCTCTATTGCTTGCATCGGCAGGTTGACAAGCACGTCTGAAGAGGAACAGCTGTCAGCCCTGATCGCTGAAAACGGGGCAAAGAATCGAAGATTACTCACTCTCAAGTTTAATGTCGCGGTGCACAATGAAATTTGCATGCAGGTAGCGCACAGCCCCCACCAATTCGGCAAAAATACGACGAATGAGTTGCGGACTCATGGGCCGTGGACTCGACGATGCCACGTCAAAGAGGTCACCTCCGGGACAGTAGTCGAGAACCAATAGCGCGCGCTTCTCGTCGCTACCAAATGCTTTCAATTGCACCAGCGACGGATGATTGACAGATTTGAGTATGTCTACCTCGCGCTTGAGGGAAACTTCCAAGCGCTCCTCATCTGCACCACCGGCCGGTCCATACTCGATAATCTTGACTGCAACAAGCTTCTGTGTTACCAAATTCACATCTTGAAGACTGGAAAACATGGTTTCGTCGTCGCTTTCTCGTCTTTCTATACGTGCCGCGAGGGAGACTTGACTGAATGTTCCCTGACCTAGCTGACGTATCTTGCGGTACTTGCGACGTTGTTGTGTGCGCACGGAGCGTACCGAGTAAATCTCATCAGGGCCAGCTGCCAACGGTGTTATAACGGGTTCGTCATCGCGTTCATCGGAGCCACTGCGACTGCTGCGAGGAGGCGTAGGAGGGCGGACAGTGGGCAACGCGATCCCACGGTGGACGGCCAGATACTCTTCGCGATGAAGATTATTGCTGTTGCTGTTCGTCTTCGAGTCGGTGCTGACAGATGCAGTGATCCCCGGGGGCATTCCTGGTCCTGAAACTGCAATTGGCCGTGGCTTGACCGGGATAGCGCGACCGGGAGGTACATACTCGCTTAAGCTGCGGTTGCGAGAATGCTTTGACCCGGATCCTTGACGTGGTTTTGTTGGAGACTCGATGGGCGTCTCAATGGGTGTTTCGGACAGCTTGTCAGGGAGCATGTATTGCCTGCTTCGTGGCCGGGATTCGCAAGCACCGAGCATTTGAGAGGAATCGCTTAGTCGCAAACCGAGACTGGAACCGCTGCGAGAGGTTGTCGAGGGCGTCCGAGACAAAGACTGGGAATTGCGCCGTGGTAGTTTCCATGGCGACATGCCACCGATGGGCGATGGCAAAGGCGTGATGTCTCCCATGGCCATGAGTTGAGGGGAAGATATGAGCGAGGCCGGTGACAGAGTCAAAGATCCTGCGCTGGTTGGAGGGCCGGCGAACAGACCGCGCAGGCTTGGAGTGCGCCGGGGGAGACTGCTGGACGAGATGCTGTGATGCACGAATGACTCAGGTTCCCTTGGCGGGCTCATCTGGCTGGCGTTTGACAGATCCGTGCGAATCTGAAGCGAAGGCAGATGATGGGGGTGTGAGTAGTGCTGCAGCGTTACATCCTGCAGTCCCTCTGCAGGAGATTTTTCGATATAAAGCGGAGGAGTATGAAAACTCCCTTGACCGGGGACTATAGCAGAGGGTGCACCAATTTCATTGTCATCCGAAGCCGTTGGGTGGTTGGCTTCGTGTAACTGTGGTTGGTGAACGGTAGATCCTGACCTATCGGTCGGTTGGGCCGAATCCGAATGGACCATCGAACGGAAAGAACAGGGCAGCTGATGGATTGAGTGTTCCTATCCTGGCTGTATTAATTTTTTATTTGAGTATATGTTCCCCTGATTGTTTATTCTTTTTTTCTTCTTGTCTTTTTCCCTTTGTTGCAGCTGACAAAAGGCCCGTGAAAGAGGCGTCGCGGGTAATATGGTGGACTGGGAGCGGGCAAGTTCGGGGTCTAGATGCGAATCCCTCGGGTCAACCTAAAGTAAACCGCGTGGCACTTGGCGCTGAAAGAGGCCCTGGGGGCCAAAAAGAAGAAGCGGGTAGGATGGAAATGTGTTGTATCAGTGCATTAGCAGGGAAGGGGTCCTTATATGGTTGAGGGAAGGACCAGAATAAATCGCAGTAGGTTCAAAGGAATGAAAGGTAAGAAAATTAAGAGAGGGAGAGAGAGAGAGAGAGGGAAAGAAGAAGAGGAGAGGAGAGAGAAGAGAAAAGGCAGGGAAGAGGGAACGGACGGCGGGGAACACCGAAGAGATGATCCCAGAACCTCAGACCTTCTTAAGCAGGCGAAGGGAAAGCCAATCTGAAAAGCAGATCCAGCAAAGAACTTGACTTGAGTAAGTAGCTTCGGCGCGCTGATGACGCTGGCGAACGAACGAACGAACGAAAAATCCAGGCGGGGTCAGCTGATAAACCGGCCGCTTCGAGATTAGCCGCCACGAGGAAAAGGCGCTACCCCGCATTAAGTAATACCGTTGGCGGAAGGACCAGAAGAGGACCGGATCTTACCTGCTTTGGGGTTAGCTTGTCATGGCCTCGGCCCTATCGCAGTCGTCGCTGTATTGTCCACTGATACGGGACGCGCCACCCAAACCTGATATTAATACTCTAATCTCTCCTTCTCCCTTAATCTCAATCCTGGCAAAACCACTGCGTAAGCTGAACTAGACTTATAATTTGATAAAAAATTGAAGGGCAGATAGTGTTCCCCCCTAAATGTAGTTTATTAAACTGTGATAAATCTTATCGCTACTTATGAGTAGGAGGAATCTCCCCCTTTTGGCATTTTCCATGCCCGGTACCACCAATAAGTTCCTTGCAGGGTGCAATCTGCATTGTTGGTGAAAACGGGGGCTGACGATCTGCCATTGCGAACCTTGCGCCTCTCTTTCCCACGCTTTTACTCTTTTCCCTCTGCTTTCTCCCCTTAACAGCCACCAGCCATCGCTTTCTAACCCAAAAGGTGCCAATCGTGGTTGCCCAATGAGGCAGGGTTGAGGCACCACGACTTCCCAAAAAGAAATGTTCGTCGCAGAATGCGGGAGGTGTCGCGACAATCATCGGATCGTGGAATTACCTGTCACACCAACTTGTGGCGATCGTAGCTGATCGCGATATAACTCCACGGCCGAAGCGGAACCTCTAATATTTACTTGGTTACTTAGCGAGTCCAGGGAGATATTCCCATTTCCCACTTACTGCCCAGCCAAGGCGTATGGTTCGTCCGCTCCCTCCACCTCACAGGATCTTCATTCGGCCTCCGAACTCCTTGTACAGAGAAATACCACATACTTCGTACAATGGTCAGTATACTTCGCTCTTATTTATCTCTTCAACACTAGTTCTAGTTCTGGATGTCGAATATACCCTCGCAAAGTACGTACTCCTATTGTTGACTCAGAGAGGTCTGGATGCGCCGGTGTTTGAAATCCCAAACCTGGTTGAGTTTCCCACCAAAATTCCCATAATAGCAACAAGAACTCCGTCCAGGGAGCAATTCTGGCTCCAACGCAATTAGGGCCATCAGCTTAATCTCGTTAATTTCCTATCTGCTCGCGATCATTTGACGCACTGTGCACATCGCCGACCACGCTACTGTAGCGCGTGCACTAGCTCGCCTGGTGTCCCTTCCATCGAAATTGGGCCGTATCCATTCTTCTGCTGCCAATCTTTGGTTGGCCTCCTCTTTTGCTTCCCATTTCAAGGTTTGAGGTGAACGGATCGACGCGCTGTGCCACCCAACCTACGTAAGCTATCCGAATTTCATCATTCCTCAGGTTTTGGTCGAATTTGTTTCGGATGTGGAACATGGAAACAGCCACTGATGGGCTAAGAAAACGCACCGACAACTGCCAAGTCTCCCCGAACCAGGCGCTCAGCTGTCATGACTGACTCAGGACGAACGGCGGACTTGGTCTTCGCCAAATCCACAAGCCTGTCTGAACTCTGAAGATTTTCCCGGTCCTCGGGCTTCTCTCGTCAATCTTTCTCGCGCCCTCGAGTCTTGGCACCCCACGCCTTGCTGCGCTTCATCGACCCGATTGCTGATTACGGGCTGCTCACGCAGTACTCCGTAAAGTTTCCGGGCATGGAATTATCCCGTTCACCTTTCATCCTGGTATAATAATAGGCGATGGTATTTGATGTTATCATTCCACCCCTGTCTTTGTCCGGGTCGGCTTCGTGATTGCGACCGGGTCAACTCCGAACCCGTCCGGCGAGGGTCCCGGCCATTCACTGTTTTGACGGTGGCTCGGATCCGTAAGCGACCAGCACCGCCCATGCGGCATGTCAGCGTTTGCGCCTTCTGGCAATTGTTGGCGACCGTCTCAATGGAATGCTTTCTTCTCGACTAAAACATTGGTTGGGGAGGGTTTCCAAACTACTTCTACCCAACACAGTCCATCTTTATCTCCGGTTCCATGCAGATTAATATTTGTTGGTGCCCTCGATGTCTCAAGTATGTGCGCTGCAGCCGCCGACCTGCGAGACCCGGGATTCATGCACGGTGTGGCACCAGGGCAACCTGCTCCCTGTGCTATTGCATGCAGGCGCCACCCATGCTCGCTTTCCAGATGCATGATTATTTGCGTTCCCTGGTCGGACGCATACAGTTGGGACTTTTGTCCTTGCTGTCGCTGGGGACAAACTTTCCCAACCACTAATGTGCTTCGAAAGGTTACCATTCAGTATAGTTTATCTATCATAACTAGATCGATCATAGTCCGTAACCGCTGTCCATCATAGCCATATGTTTTGGCGTTATATCATCGTTTCCATCAGGTTGTCCGGCTTGCCAGCTAATACACAGCTGGTCCAGAGCGGTTGAGAGCCCCAATAGCCTGCTCGATACTGATTACATTGACCGGCAGTTCGGGAAGTATGCCCTCCAAGATAACCTTCTGATTTAGGGCGGCATATGATGAGGGAGTCTCGATCGTATTGTTCGAGATAACGTAGCTGTTGTCAAGCATGATGCGTTAGCAGTGCCTTTTCCACATGCGTGATCGGTATTGAACCGTGGTGCTGGCTTACACATTATAGTTCATATCCAACAGACGAAACGCAGTGCTAAGCACTACTCCCGAAGTACGGATCCCGGACTACCAGTTACATATTGATCAGCAAATCTGTTGACTTGACTTCCACTCCGTTGCATGGCATCACCTACCAAGATCACAGTATCTATCTTCTGAGAACTGAGGATCTCCTCCAGCTGGTTCCCCGCACCAGCATAATACCGCGCCTTCTGCAGCACCACATCATAGTTATCCAGGGTCTTGAATGCCGAATAGATCTGACTATCGGGACTCGAAGCTGTGGCGTTGCCGAGGCTAGTCACCGCGCTGGCGAAGGGAGCGTTGCCGAGTTCAGGACGGTAGGTGTTGGAGAAGAAGATGCGAGTAAAGATACTCAGGGGGGGAGGGTCCTGCTTGTGCACACTTTACGACATAAGTACTCCGTATAATGTATCCGCAGTTCTCCAAGATCAAATAATACATACGCATCAATCCAGTTCGCGACATTATCAATCCACAACTGCCCGGACCTGGTAGTATTCACATTGGCCACCAACCCATCGATAAGATCTAGATTAAGCACTGCATAATGTTTCCCGAAACTAAACGACGGGTCGGTAACGGTCGAGGTGATATTCCGTGAGTAGCCTGGGTTGCTAGTGGTTGTGGTTGAGGAGAGACACCCGGTTGCCAGGAGCGCCAGGCATGCAAGCGAGTATTTGAACATGGTTGGTGTGCTGCAGGGGGAAGCACTAAACAGCAAAAAGAAGAAAAAATCAAAATTAAAGATAGGGATGCAACGGATGGGATAGACTCGCTGATCTGAAAGTGAAAACTTGCTCTAACTTGAAGCAGGGGTCTTTTATGTACATTACGGAGTAGAAATTGTCCATTTCTTCCATACTAATCAATGTGATTCTTTTCTCCACCTCTCCAGATGGGACTATTGCCTCTAGTTGATCGTTGCTTTTTTATGATATTAGGTCTGCGATCCGCTAGTGAAGCTAGTATTGATTACTTGTGATCAGTTGAGCTGAGGAGTAACGTCACACCGGAGATGACGACTTGATCGGGTTTTTGTCAGACTTAGTAATTATTCATTTATTAAGTGATTCTATGGCTTTTTCTTGGTAGAAGAGTGATAACTGGTCCGGATGACGGGAAGATCATAAGTAGTAGTCTTGTCTTGATGAAGAATCCATTGGCAAGGGCGCACTTGTGCAGGTAGCTAACTAACTAAGTAACTGACTACCTCATTGGGGTGATTGTTTGTTTTCCAAGGGGCTTTTCCCGGAATGGAGCTGATCTTCTGCTGTTGATCTCCCCCAAGTGGGGACCCTAAAGCTTAAGCCTGGGTTGGGAGTTGCGTTTGCCCTGAAGGCGATACTATTTACTGCATTCCCGTTGGGTTTATCTTTTCCTAAGTACGGAGTACTTCTGTGTAACTCATCTACTCTTTACATGAGGTAGAGTAGTTGGTGAATTGGGTTAATATTGTGGCGCAGGCATTCGTGCCTCCTGATCGAGACAGTTGGCTGACTCTGGCAGTCTATCTGAGTCCTGCATCGAATCTCAAATCAACGATCGATTTGAATGGACAGTCAGATGTTGAGTAACCTTGAGGTGGGAGGCTCGGGCCTTCTGAAATGCCTTGTGCAACATACTTGTGCTTTGTATTGCTACGTGCAGGAGCAGGACTCCCCTTTATCCATTATTTCTCTTTCTGCGAATTATTAGCCAGTTGTCTCTGACTCGTGCTTATCATTCAAATTCCGGTTTCGATATTTGATTGAACAATCAAGTTGAAACTGCAGGGCAAGCAGTCGCCCTGTGGGAGGTGTGGAGATGGACAGCCCTGAATAGTCTTTACCCGGGCTCTCCACAACAACACCACCGTCCAGAATTCTTTACCGGCTGACCCGCTCTCCCACTCACCACCTATCTATAGATGGGCCTATTTAAAGATTTTCAAGAGAACAAAATCCTCAGCGATGGCTGTGTTGTCTGTCTTCCACGGGTGACAATTATAGGCAACTTTGGCGATGCCAGCGGAGATTTTGGGGATTTCTTGGCTATCTGTCGCGAACAGTTAAGCGACGCCACCGGACTGCGAATAGATCGCAAGACTATACGGGCGATCTCACAACTCCAGGGAAAAGTTATATCCTCACTCCTTGACTGGACACCCATAAGCCTATCTGCCAAGGCTGGCATCCGAAATTTTCATTCCTCTTCGCCTCCCTCCCGTTGGAACGAACCGCTCGTTTCCGACTGGTGAGTTATGATGATGACTCGGTACGGGAGTGCGTTGTACCTGCTTGCTGCCTGGCCATGCATGCATCATGTACTTTGAAGTACCGCCTTTCTCCGATTGTGACATGATGCTCATCACTGCAGTTGATGCATGGCCTGGCACCATATGGAAGTCACCACGAGTAGCCCAATCATTCGCTTAACATGCAGCTGCAATATAATACAAAAGGAATATAGACCAGGGCAAGGGGCCGCTCTGGACGCAACATGGAAGTGACTTCATCCCCAGTGCCCCCATAACGCCCCATCCTGCTCCCTCCAGAGTGGACAGGGTCGATGGCCTCCACTTTGTCTCACTCCGTTGTGCTTCTGATTCGGTATATCCTCTACAATGCCAAGCAGAGCTAAGTATATCGCAGCATCATGCTATCTACTGCACGCGTCATTCAGTAGCCATAGTCTCTGTCGTTTAGGAAAAGAGATCAAAAAAGAAGTCAGCTATTCATAGTCTCACTTCGTAGTTCTGACCATGTACCCTTAATCATAGTCCAGCCACATGCACTTCGCCATCCGGTAGCGCTGACCCTCGGGGATGCAACGCAGCCCGTAGGGCTCGATCCGGTCTAGTGAGGGCCCATAATTAGAAGAATGGACATGGGACAGAGGGAGGCTGAGGGTCTCTAGTGGAGATAGATAGACAGAGGGATCAGGGGCGAGCCGTAGCGGTGAACCTACAGCCATGTCTGTAACCAACCAACCCATGGCTAGCTAGCCCTTTCCGGGTCGCTTCTAAGTTAGGTACCAGGCACTGACACTTATAGAAGACCCATAGGAAGAAAGTAGTAGTACCGAACAGTTATAAGTAGTAGTGACCTGACCCTTTGTGGCTTCTACTTCTCCATACTCTATCCATTCCGTGGCTCAGATCCATACAGAAAAAAATATCTACCATTCTCACACTCGTTCTTCAATCTTAAATACCACTACTATCTTCAACCCACACCCATCCTCACCAAATCCACTCACTAATACCACCACCACCACCATGTCCGTGACCACCACCTCAACCGGCACCGCCGCCTCCGCCTCCTCCACCTGCATCAACAAGCTCTACGACATCCCCGTCAAAGATGCCGCCTGCGCCATGCCCATGCGCAACAACAACTCCGCAATCATGAGCAGCTGCTGTGGCTCCGCCTCCATCGTCTCCTACGACAGCTGCGACTACTACTGTCTGGCTCAGGACCAGACCGTCGGTACCCTGGCCGAATGTCTCATCAAGGCCTCCGAGGCTGGTGAGGTCTGGTGTAACACTAACGCCAACGCTACTGCTACCGGTAGCGTTCCTACTACTGGCGCTGGCACTATCGTCTCGACTGCTACTGCTACTGGTGGCTCGTCTAGCACGGGTTCCAGCACTTCGAGCGGTTCGTCGGCTTCTTCGACTAGTGGGGCTGGTGTGGCGGTTACGAAGAAGAGTGTGGGTGTGTTGGCGCTGTTGTTCTTTGGGTCGACTGCGGGTTTCTTGTTGTAGGGGATTAATATGAGGAATTTATACTATTTAGGGGTGGTGCAGATATGTGGGTTTGGGGGGTTTAGATGGCATACTATAGTATAGAGCAGAGCAGGCTTGTACAGTAACTTGGGGAAAAGATCGTCTTGATTGAACCATTTTGCTAGCGGAAGTCCGTCCTTCTTAGCATTACTTTGATCTTTCATTTGTTTGTGTTATATATTACCATTGTCGTTTTCTTCACTTCATAAATTATTTTCTGTTGCATATGCGCAATTTCCAATTTGGTTCAGTGATAGACACTATACATACCCATTGGTATATACACGTCTACATGAATCCTCCCTACTAGTGCATAAACCTGCCACAGCAACTTGCACTATACCAATCGAAAAGAGGTACTACTAGTGTACTCAGGACCCCCCAAAGCCTATATTATCTTGGAATTTAGGGATTGAGTTCCTGTAAACTTTCAGATGTCTCTCTACAAAAGTCATAGCGGAGTCACAGTTGACTCATGCCTAACGTGAACTAGTTACCAACTGATAGGTATGGAATATGGTCTGTATCACCTAGTTGAGGAACTGCCTTAGGCATAGATATTACTCCGTTTGCTTCATATCACGTGCATCCACAACAGACAACCAGAAAATATTACTTCAGCTATGGAAAGGTGATTCAAACAATACTTATAAAAGGCTAAGGATAGAGATGTGGACCGTTCAGAGTCACCATTTCTGTCAAAAAGAGAACACATAAATATTACGTCTAATGCAGTTTGTCAGATCTAACGATGACTCGTGCGAAAAGCGACACATTATGAGTTATCAGTCAAGAATGCTTAATACATGAGTGTATCTTCCCCTTCCTTTGAACAATGCAGCTACAAGTTGCGGTAAGCGTATGCTATCCTGTTACTGAGAAGAGTATGCAGAATTTGATTCAGAGTCATTCTGAGTAATTTTCGTAGGTTATGTGTGTTACATTCTACCAAGTGAGTGCTGGGCTTACTTAGACTACTCGTGAATAGAAGACGTACAATTGACGAATATGCGTATTTGGTATACCCATAGACCACTTATTCGTCTTTACTTCTCCTGCAATCTATCAGCTTTTACTTTTGTTACTCATTATAGTATAGTATATACTCGAGACCCGATGACTCGGAATGTCCGCACAGTCTACGTGTCGATTTGGGTTGCCGAGGTTCCGTCGTTCCACAAGGTATGTAGTAGAGACCATATATATCCGCATGGTATCTGTTCAATTGGAAAAAGAGAAAGCACCACAATATCCCGAGGTTGGTGGATTCAGGATGTAGGATTACAAATTGTCGATCAACCCCGCACCGGGCAGGCCTAGGATTCAAATGGGACTAATGTGAGCTCGGGGGGGGGGGGGGGGGGGGGGGGGGGGGGGGGTTGGGGAACGGATTTTTCTCTTACTGTTGTTGAAGAATGTGACGCAAGCATGTCAATTCCTACTATTAATTGAGTGACCGGCCCCTCACAGAAACAGAAAGAGTCGAAAATATCAGCAGAAGAAAGCAGAATGAAGGACATCAAGATCGAGCCCGCAAAGGGCATTTCCTACTTTACCCCAGCACAACAAACCCCAGCAGGGACAGCAGCGAACCCGCAGACCAGTGGAAAGGCGATACCCAAGCTCTTCCAGCCGATTACCATTCGAGGATTAACATTTCAGATTCGTCTTGGGGTAATAAACCTACCACCATCAAGCTAACGGCCTGTTGACAATGATTGCTCTAGGTATCCCCAATGTGCCAGTATTCCGCCCAGGATGGCCACATGACCGACTACCACCTCGCCCACCTGGGCGGTATAGCCCAGCGAGGCCCAGGCCTTATCATGATCGAGGCCACCGCTGTCGAACCGGAAGGTCGCATCTCACCGCAGGATGTCGGGCTATGGAAAGACTCACAAATCGCGCCGATAGCTCGAGTCATCGAGTTCGCGCATAGCCAAGGCCAGAAGATCGGTATACAGCTTGCACATGCAGGTCGGAAAGCGAGTACTACTGCACCTTGGATGATGAACCATGGCAATGTAGCAACAGAGAATGTCGGTGGATGGCCCGATAATGTCAAAGGACCCAGTGATGTACCCTTCAGCGAGACATTTCCGAAACCGCGAGCTATGAGCAAGGACGACATCCGCGAGTTCAAGGAGGCGTGGGTTGCGGCAGCGAAACGGGCCCTTGTGGCTGGAGCGGATTTCATTGAAATTCATAATGCGCATGGATATCTGCTTGCATCGTTTTTGACCTCCTACACGAACAAGCGGACAGATGAGTATGGTGGATCTTTTGAGAACCGGATGCGATTGCCGTTGGAAATTGCGCAGTTGACTCGCGATACGGTGGGTGAGCATGTACCTGTTTTCCTGCGTCTTTCGGCATCGGATTGGCTGGATAGTGGTTTGGGAGAAACCTGGGGCTTGCAGGATGCGGTGAAGTTTGCTGGAGCGTTGGTTGCTCAAGGAGCTATCGATCTGATTGATGTCTCTTCTGGAGGTTTACATTCGAGTCAGAAAGTGAAATCTGGGCCTGGGTTTCAGGCACCGTTTGGCATTGCGGTTAAGAAGGCAGTCGGGGAAAGGATGCTTGTTGCGACTGTTGGTCATATCAAAGATGGGAGGCTGGCAAATCGGTTGCTCGAAGAAGAAGGACTGGATGTGATTCTTGTTGGGCGTGGATTTCAGAAAGATCCTGGATTGGTCTGGACCTTTGCGCAGCACCTTGATGTTGAGATTGCTATGCCGGGCCAGATCCGCTGGGGATTTTCCAAACGGGGAGGGACCCCATATGTCGATCCGTCGGTCTATAAATCCTCACTATGATGGGATAGAGTTGAGTGTTTATCTTTGCAAGATACAGAATAAGAGAGACCAAATACACCATGTTTTAATTAGCTATCCCCGCTTCCCTCAGCATTCATGTTCTACATTGATGGTCTCTTTGTAATGTGACATGATGATGTAGTTGGGTTCTTGTGATATCTATGAATATAGAAAATCTTTACCTACTCGAGAACATTACGAGCTATCCTGGTATAGAACGCAAGAAACCCCAAGAACGATACGGCCATAGTACGTTCAAAAAGAAGATATACGGATATATCACCCTCTGAGTGGAGTCTTCAGCAAGTGAATCATACTCAGTCAAAGATCTTGTGCACTTTCCACTGGCCAACATTCGCGACCAACTGGATCTTCTTGATAGCTTCGTCGTACACATTGTCATCACCGTTAAGTTCCAACTATCATCTATTAGTCAAGATGAAGGCAGAAGCTAGGAATGTACAGCTTACCAATGCCAAGTAACGCGGCGGCTCTGCTGGTTTCCCCTCCGGGAACAACATGGCCCAGAAGACCTCGTGAATGGCCACCCGCTGAGGCACGCCGTTACTATATGTTCCACAGAACCAATCCATCACAGCCTGGTCATCGGCTTTGTTTATGATGTGTGAAGGCAAGTCAAATTCCACAGTAAGGAGATGAGACGTTGGGCCTAACACATCCAACATCACAGGAGTGAGTCAGCTTTCGCCCTTCTCTTCCATTGTCTTATAAGTCTCACCTGATGGCATAGCCGAGTCTTCTCTTCTCCCAACCTCGCGGTATCGCCTGATATCGAAATGCGCTATATCCATACAACTGTGTGTTGGCCCCGGCAGAACATCACTAGTCACAGGGATGCTCGTAAACTCCTCTGTGTTCAGAAATTCGATGTCTGGGACGGGGTAGAGAGCGAGGAATGTCCACGGGGAACTATCTTGCGGCACTGCAGCCGTTTCATAGCGGGCTGCGGAGTTGATTCCGGAGGTCTTGAGGACATCACGCACATGGATGTCATTATACCAGGTGTTGAAGACATCTGATGATTTTTGCGAGGGAGAATTGAGCCTAGAGGCTGCATAGAGCAGGCCCGAAGTAGACATTTTGGTTGTGTGGTCTCCTTGATTCTCTGTTAGAGAGGGATAATGTGGCTGGAGGGGGAACTTGAGGGTTGATGTACGCACTAAGTACTTAGTAGCACCGGGTTTGAAGAGGGGATAGATTGGCGCTCGGCTAGTGGTATGTTGTTTAGCTGAAGGCTGGGTCCACTCTTGAACGAGAGTTTGAGATTGCTAAGGTGGACACGGCGTGAGATTGACCAATAATGCCATTCAACTGAACTTCGAGGTTCTAATTCAACAAACACGAAATGTACCTTAGCAAGATAAACCACAATCTGTCAATTTACTTTCTATCAACTGAGACACCAGGTATAGTCACCTTCTACTGTCGGAAAACTAGATATTCCGTTAACCTTTCTGAATTTAACGTAAACCCTAATCCTTGACCGAAGTCAATCTTCTGAGGACAATCTTGCGGATTGGGCAGTTCTGAATGTGAGCTAGGTTTCAATTTTAAGAATAGATGCTACCCTTTTATGACCCCGCTCAACTTATGATCCGAGTCATTTCAGTGTCAGGGATCTGCTGGACCCAACATACCAACTTCATAGTAGTTCCCGAACCCATCGCGTTCGGGACCCCCCGAGCTTCCACAACAACAGCAAAATATCATATATATCTGAACTAGTATATGCGGTGGACACCTCAGAGTTGATCTAGATTTGGTTTTTGTTCTTTCCATAGGCTAGACACAAGCCATGCTGCATTTTTCTGCATTGCAATTAGGTGAAACCCATGCCTTATAATGGTGTGGGATGTGAAGCACGAATTCCGCACACATACCAACAGATTTCATATCAATGTAGACTAAGTTACGGTCCGCCATCATACTATCAACACGACCAAGCTACAACACCAACATTTTGATCTTCTTACTGGCAGCTCAAGATCTACATTGCAGTTTTACCATAAGTAATGAGCGACGCCATATCTAAACCTTCTATCCTATTCAGCTAGCCAGCTACAACCTTACAGTTCCCCGGTTTGATCTCCATTCTTGGCATGTTTCATCTGACAGCCACCCATTTTACTCCTGCATGCCTACGCAGGATATAAATAGCGATGCAGTATTCATTTCTCCTCTGTCCAGCTTGTGCCTCGCTACAGGCCTGCAAAGATCTCAGTAATCATGGGTCTGGCGGATCTCTGCGTGGACGTGGTGCTAGAGTTCCTGCGTTATCTCAGTCTGGAGGAACTGTTGTCCCTGAGGATGGTTTGTCGTATGCTTTGTC